ATTTTTTTTTTTTTTTTTCAGTTTGTTTTCATCCAAAAAAAAGAGACAAAGTGTGGCCACCACCACCACCACTCTTTTCATGACAGCGTTTTAAAACGGGGTTACTTTTCCCTCCCCTGAACCGAAGTCGTCTCCGGGTTACGGCGAGGATTTCCGGAGAAGATGGGGAGAAAAAAGATCCAGATCCAGCGGATCACGGACGAGCGCAATCGGCAGGTCGGTGCTTCCCCTTCGCCTCCCCGCTCCCTCCTCCCGCCGCGGCCTTTTAAAGCTTCTCCTCACTTCATCCAAAAGCTAGAACACACCCCTTACATGACCAATTTCAGTAACCACAGCAACTAGATCCCAGTGTACCTTTGTTCTCTGTTGTGATGCTTGTCCTCTCAGCCTTTTCTTTCCCAACAATTATTTTATTGAGCTCGTAGACGTGATCAGAACAGTGGGTTACAAAGCACCGGAAAGGTATTTTGCATAATATTTACAGTTTGGATTTAAGATATCCTTCTTGACACACATTAGAAATCTACCTTTTGCTGCCTCAAGGGGATCATGCTTAGCAAAAAGATCCCTCTCCCAGTATAGAGTGCATACTCCCCATGCTTAGCCTGACCGATCTCTGGTTTCTGTACAGAGGATTTTTACATGGTGGAAGAAGGGTCATTAAGTGGTCTTAGAGCCCACAACAAAAGGATGCAAGTAGTGAAGCTTACCTATAACTTAATCATTGCTAATGATAAATCATTTATGATGTAGCCAGACAAAGGAGGAACTTGTGCCGAAATACACGTGCGAATCGGAGAGGGGAAAAAAAAAAAAAAAAAAGACTAAATCCCAAATTTTACCCCCAATTTAGGTGTTCCTTGAGTCGGCAGCACTTTGCTGGAGCAGGTTTGCTCTGCGCTGACTTCAGCCGTGGATTTCCCCGTTAGCCACAAGGCTTTCAGCTCCCTTTGCTCCGGGGCTTCCCGTGGTCCTTGAGCTTGGCTCAGCAAATCCAAGCCTTTAGTCCAGCCACCGCTGTGGATGGCCCAGCCACGCTCTTTTTATTCCAGACCGAAAAATAAAAGTATGTGTTTATATACGTGGCCAGCGTCGAGGGAGGGGATTGTGCCCCTCTGCTCTGCTCTGGGGAGACCTCCCCTGGAGCCCTGCGTCCAGCTCGGGAGCCCTCGGCACAAGGAGGACATGGAGCTGTTGGAGCGGGGCCA